TGTGTGTGTGTGTGTGTGTGTGTAGATGAAAGCAGCCATGCACCTTTTACCTTTATCATGACTGAGGGACAAATTGATGGATGCACTTTGCCTCAAGAATGTGTGTGTGCACTGAAAATGTACTAGCTTGTGTGAAAAAAGAAAAACACCACCACTAATACAGCATCTTCAGTGCTGAGTGATCTTTGCTGTGTGCGCACTACAAGAAACAAAGCAAACACTGTGTCTGTGTGTTTTAAAGGAAGGGCGGCAAACTACCTCACCCTCAAACTAATTCAGGAACAATGCTCCAAAAGCGGGGCTGGAGGGAGACGCAGATCCAAAATATTTCCTATCTTCCTAGATTTCCTAGCAAAATATCTGCACTGACAGGCCATCGCTCCATGTGGAAATGTTTGTGTGTGTGTTTGAGCCATCGAGGTGCGAAAATAAGCTAAAGCGAGCACAATCTCTCCTCCGCTTACGTCTGTCCCAGCCTAACTAAATAAGCTCTCTCTCCCACCTCATTACCTGCACAGCCTGTGAGTGCTTCTATTGTGTATGAAGCAGAGGTGATGAAAGCAGGAGTCTAAAAGCGACACGCTTCGCTTACACTGTTTTATTCTGTCTGCCGTTTACCCCTGAGAGAAGCGCCACCGCCATTTGAGCAGCAAGCTTTTACAGTCATATTTGGCGCTGGATTCGTTTATTTGTTTTGACTCTTCTGTCACTATCTGATGTTGCTGTGCTGCCACGCACAGTTGATTCATGTTGTTTTTACTGCAGACTGGGGTGTGTCGAGATGTTTTTCTGAGGACGGGAGACTTGCAGATGTCAGCTAAACAAACGTCAGTTTGCCATTCTGTTGAGGTGATAAAAGAACAAGATGTTAAACGTTCCTTCAGTTTGTTTCACAAAAACCTGTTGGCTATTTACCAAACATCTCCAGATTGATTTTTTTATGCAAAGGTGTTGGTGTTGAATGTTTCCCTGGTATGTTTTCTGCAAAATGCTAGTCATTAGAATTCATTACGGCTGGTTATGTTTCAAATGTCTCTAGAATGAACAAACAAACAAGTGCATATAAATAAAAACAGATTTATTTTCAGGTCTGTTTACTAACAGCTAAAACAGAACAAATGTATTATTTCTTTTATATTTGTATTGTTGTATTAACTTCAATGAATTGGCTTGCTTTATTGATAAATAAATAAATACATAAATAAAAAAATAATAAAATAATAAAATAAGCAAGTAGATGAAACTATGTTCATTTTTTATACTATATATATATATATATATATATATACACACACACACACACAAAATAACCAAATTAACAAAATAAATATATTATTACAGGAACTGCTCGAGTATAATGTTCTAATTAATAAATAAACATACTAGAGAAACTTTTTTTTTCTAATTCTTTTTGCACGTCATACTCAACATTGATATTTTTACCTTGTATTCATTACCAGTAAATGTCTCTATAGTAAACAAACAAATAAATTGGCAGATGCAAGGATTTGTAAATACAGCATTTCTCTAGTATGTTTTCTGCAACATACACACATCATTAATATTCATTACTGGCAGTTACTTTCCAAATGTCTCTAGAATAAACAAATATATAAACAGATGCATACATTTACTGAAACAACTGCATATGTTTATTTAAATTAATGTCAGGTTGCCATTCTGATGCGTACATAATATCTTAAGATGTTAGTCATTACTGTAATATATTTCCTATGACGCACTCATCACCAATATTCATTACCGCTGCTTAATTCTAGATTAAACAAATAAACACATTCACATTATTTATATAAACAACTGTATAAAGAATGTAGTTGAGCTGTAATTTCAGGTTTGTTTAAACTCGCACTGATTAACGAAGCAAAAAATTGCCAATTCAGATCAGTTTTTTTTTAAATGGTAATTTATTGTTAGCTTTAATGAAGTGTCTAATTAACAGAGCAGCTCAGTATGCAGGATTTTCTCTCTTTGATATTTGAAAGGAAGTCAGAATATTTCAATGTGCCAAGCTTTGAAGGTGAGTACACACACACACACACCTGAGGCCGTGCTGACTTTGGTGACTTTGTCAAAGACTCGCAGCCTCTGGCCAAGAGGATTAAACCACATGTGCATCTCTCAAGCGATCCGACATACGAACGGACTAACAATTAAATAAGGAATAAACATGTTAATGATAACAACAGATGAGAAAGGTCAGATACCCGGCTTTTCCAATTCCTCTTTGTTAGGAGTGTATTCAGCGTGTCAGCAGCACGTTACATAACCAAATAGAAAGTTCCATATGCCACATGGCCTTTGAAGGCACAACCTGCAGTCTGGAGTTGACAAGGGCCCGTTACATAGAATGGAAACATCAAACATCCAGAAAGTCCCATCTTAAGCCAAACAACCCAGTTGTTGTCACACTAGGTCAGAGTGTCATGGGTACAACAGCAATAGTGCTAGATCACAAGAGAGTATGGTATTCATACTGCACACACACGTTCACATGCACACAGAAAGACCTAAAAAGGGCCTAAATATAGTCCTAGAAAGATTCTCCAGGACATTTATTGCAAGAAATGATCTAAGACACTGGTTCTCAACGTTGATTACAAGGCCCACAATACTCAATATTTCCTTTGCGAGTTGCAATGATGATAAATCTGCAAAGCTAGTTTTTGACAGCACAAATCAATAATAATAAAAACATTTTTAGTGCTTTTTTAGTAATTTAATTTTAAAATTGTATATATTATACATTTAAAGATCATTATTATTATTTAGAATAGTAATAGTAATATTTTAAGATTAAGTTTTTAATTAAAATCTATATTCAGATTATTAAAAATATATAAACATACATATATCATTCCTACCACCACAACGACAACAATAATAATAATAATAATAATTATTATTATTATTATGAGATTATTTTAATATACCTAAAAAAATACATCTAAAAGACAAACAAATCCATCCAATCCAATCTGTTAGTCATTATGGAGTACTATTAAAGCAAGATAACCTGAGCAAAAATTTGTCATACCAATTTGTCATACCATGCCATTTTTATAATTTATTTATTCTTTTTTTGTGTGTGTTTTTTTATTAATTTGTTTTATTTTATTTCTCCTGTGATTTACCTGTGAAGTTACTCAATGTTTATGGCTTAAAGTAAGAATTTAGCTTTTTATGACCACTTTTCCCACCCTGACCCTTAGAACTAAACAGGCTGTTTTTGGTGTTCTGTCTCTTCATAAAAGAAATGAAAAATGGCATTTTGCTATACTTACACATCAACTGCCTGTTCGCAGTCATGTTCAGAATCATTTGCACTGTCCGTCCTTCAAAAACTTTTCAACCCTGTTAGATCAGACTGATGTGATCAGCAACCTTTTAAACAATAACCTTCAGCCACTGTTTCCTAATGCTGGGATTCAGGCAGGTGCTTCACACAGCCACGAACAACTGATACCATGGGAGAACCTTTATGAAAACCTTTAAAAATATCCATAGTTCATTATTTTAAAGAACCTGGAACCCACTACACGCATGTGAAGAACTTATAATGTGACATCAAGAATGCTTTAATCTCCAAAAGATAATTTCGGAACCTATAAAGTGAAAGACTAAATGTGCTACAAAAATAAAAGATAAAAAGAATAAAAGATCCATCTATATTTTTAAGAGTGCCACTCACACATACTCGTACACCTCCTCTTGTAACGTAGCAGTAGATTATGCCAGTTCCCTCTCAGAAGGGCAATTTCTTCCTGAGAGGCATGTAAGACCCTCTGTCGCCTTGATCCAGTGTAGGTCGACTGGGGTCCTGTGACTCCTCAGCCCTGAGATGGGTTGCTTTTGTGTAGGCTGAGATTTGCCTGTCTAAATGCGGGAGTCTAAGGAGCTTTCCGGAAGATTAAGGCAGAGGGGACTCTTGAGGGCCCGATCCCCGGGGCGTAGGGCCGCAATAAAGGTCAGCAGGGTGAAATGAAGTCTGCCCGTCCAGACGAACATGGTCTGACGGTACACAAAATGACACACCATTAGCATCAGCGCTCTACCAGAAAGAGAGCTAAGACCCCATTGTTACTTCCCTTTAGAAAAACTGTAACCGTTTGGGTGAAGACGAGAGCTGAGAGGGAGAAGGAGGAAGAAAAAGAGTGATTAATCCTCTTTAAATGGCTGATGAGGGAGGAAAGAAGCCATATTGTGCGTCTTTTATGGCCTTTTCAGATTTGTAAACTACCCGTGGAGTAAAAACTGCTAATGATGAATAAATGCATTTCCAAAAAAAAAATAAAAATTCCCACAATATTCCCGGTTTCCAGCAGGCCAAGGGATTATTAAACCGTTCCCTTTCAGTTGGTCACTCCCGACGTCACGTCGGTTGACCGACAAAATTGGGATCATAATCTCATGCCAATGTGCATTGGCTCGTTTAGTTTACACTCGAAGTGGATTGGTCCCTCTAAGCGAGATCCCAATTTCGTCGGTCAACCGACGTGACGTCTCCGTTCCCTCCTTCAGGGAACGAGGGTTACATACGTAACCGAGACGTTCTATGGCACTGAATAGAAACGGAAGGTGTTTTTCAAGTCGACAGCCCAGAGCAGAGGTCTGTGTGTACATAAAGCTTTGAAACGTACAGAGTTCAGCAGCTGCTTCATATCCGTGAACCGCCTTTTCACCTTCAACAGGAATGCATAACGCGCCAAGACCAAACACATATTCAATCTGCGATGACTTATCACCTCTGCAGCTCACCGCATTCATAAACTGAGATAAGCCCTCGGATAACCAGAATGTAAGCAGGGCAGTCTGAAGAAATAGATCTCAGAAATGTCATATTGACACAGAGGATAAATAAAACAGCCTAATTTTTTTTTTTTTACTGATCAGCAAAGTCAGGTCCACTCTGAAGCATGGACATGTCTTAAAAAATATAAATGAAATGAAATAAAATAAAATAAAATAAAGATGCATATATTGGTACTTGGTGCTTCACCACTTTCATTCAAGTTAAATTTATAACTAACTTATAACTATGTAACTAACTAACAAAATATAAAACGAAGTCATACAGAATTGTGAAAAAGAGTAAATGGTTAAAATGTAATTTGGGCAACTTAATTTCCTTCTTAACTTTCTAAATGTTTTCAGGACTTGTGTCTGGTTGACGTTTAGCAAATTTCTTGCCACCCTGAGGAACCTTAGAGGAGTCAGTTTATCTGCCAGCAGACAATCACGCTCCTGGAGAATCTCTGAATTCGTTCTGCTGCTGTCACAGACTCATCACAGAACCCAAACCATAATGCCATCTGAAATTACATCTCCACCGCCTTTCTCTCTTCTGTCGGCCTTCGGCAAATCAAAGGATGGTAAGTAAGAAAGACAAGACGGAGAGGAGAAGAAAGAGAAATATTACAGTTATTGCCTTGCAACAGTGCACCATAAATCTCATTTGTACGCCCGAGGCGATGTTGTCGGGTTTCTGCAAGTATTCACCTTCAAGAACATCTAAATGTTCAGGTACATGTTGCAAACTTGTGAAACAGCTCAGAATAATTTGATACTCTTTTCTCAAAATAAGGAAATTTTTTGAGACTTGAACCAGGTCTACTGTTCTGCCCTCGGCCTCATCAGAACATTCATTTGGAAACCATTCATAGTTCTGAATTCCCATCCACAGATCTGCTTTCCCAGATCAGACAGGACACCCAGGTGTGAAATTGAATAACCGTGTGTTATCGCTAACCTCACAAACATCAGATATCTGACAGGCATATTTCTACCTAAACCCATTAAAGTTACACCCAAACTAATAATGCTGTGCCAAACCCTAGCAATCAATTTTGCTGTCAACTATTTACATAGGTAGCTACATTAACTCTAATTAAATTCTTTATGGGCATCACTTAAAGGTGAAGTGTGTAATTTATGTCAGAATTACAAAAATAAACATTTTCAAACAACCCTGCAAATGCCTCTTACACCTCATCACACCCTTATGATTATACTTATACTTATGATCTTATCCTTAATATCAATGGATCTTTTTTGTTCATTTTCCTTAAGGCTGGAATACACATGACTTTATACACTTGTTGACTTTGTAAATAGTTAGAGAAAAACTGGTCATTATATACTACACAATTAAGATTCATACACAGATTGTCCAGTCTTTCCAAACAGAAAAAAACTCACACAGAAACATGAGCCTCGTTGCTAGGAGAATCATAACAACTGGAAACAATGTGCGTTCTAAAATTGGCTCAAATTATCACATGTGTTTGATATCCTCAGAATGGATGGATTGAAATCAGTCAACTCTCTCAGACTGTCCAACATCTGCAGACTGGCTTTGACTTTTGACAGCTAAGGAGAAATGCCCAACAGACGTAACTATTTCAGCAACGAAAACATGCTGAAAAGTTAATTTGCACCTCGAATTAAGCCAGAAACCCAAATTTGAATATGTATTTCCTGCCCCCAGGAGAAAAATGCCCCCCCAAAAAAACCTGGCTGCATTCGGGTCATATTCTACATATGTAGCTTAAAATGGTTAGGAAACACACACACACACACACACACACACACACACACACTTGACTGTATTAATTGGCACAGCTTCACTTCATTTTAAATTATTAAAAAAATACAAAAATAAAATAAATTAAAATAAATTATTCATGCATTTATAAATAAATTATATGGATAAAAAATAAAGAGTGTAATTACTATTAAAAAAAAAAAAAATAAAATAAAAAAATTGATGACCAGTAAAGAATAATTATGGCTCAATCCTTTCACCAGAGATAAAAAGGTTAATAGTGGATCCTGATTTCAGCATTTCAATGATTCTGTGTCATTTATATATGTATTTCACCTGTAGTGAAATGTCTGCTACAGACATACACATTTAAGTTACGCTTCCATAGATGTCATTTTCGCTGAATTGCTTGCAGCAAAAGCAATCTTCTTTGGCCTTATTTTTTTTATCAATTATTGGCTTTTTAAGCGCAAAATACACTAACATTTCAGCATGAAT